ATTAGGTAAAATACTTATTGCCCTAAATGTATCGATACATGGGTGAAATCTATCGATACTTTTTCAACAAAGGTCCCTTACCTCAAATCTATTGAGACATTTGGACATTAAATTGATAAATGTTTATCTTAATTCAAATTTATCAAAACATTCCTCAATGTATCGATAGAAAACCCTCAGAACATATTATTCTTCCTTCCAAGAATGTATTAATACATTGGGGAATGTATCGATACATTTTCCCCTATAGGCATATTTTCAACTTTTCAAGCTTCCAAAAATCCAAACCTTAATTCTCTAATTCATTATCCTACTTATTTTGCATCTCAAGTCACTTATATAACTTAAATCCATATACATATATCCTTATATACAACATCAATACAAATCAAAACCTCAAACCTTTAGGATTTATCACATATTTTCCACAAAATAAAATTGCTTAAGTGTCATAATACAGCTCCCATATACCTAGTGTATTTAACATATCATCCAAGTCCTCAATGCATAATATATTTCACAAATTAGTCTCAATTAACTTAGTTCATATAAAAAATTAGGGGTGTTACACAAGGCAACCATTGAGCATCAACATCAGCTAAATCCAATCATGAAAGAATGGTAAAGAAAGAAATTATCAAGTGGTTAAATTCAGGTATTATTTATCCTATTTCTAATAATTAATGGGTAAGTCCAATTCAATGTGTACTAAAGAAAGAAAGTATGACTATAGTTTCTAATAAAAATAATAAGCTCATTCCTACTAAAACTATGACTGGTTGAAGGTTATGTATTGTAACACCCCTAAATTTTTTTGACATGGCATAAATGTGATAGGGTTAAGTTATTAAAAAGTGAAATTTGAACCCCGATATGTATGCTTGTGGAGTATGTGTATGAATTATATTGTAGAGAGAATGATCTTGAAATTGTCATATGTTTGGAGACTTCTTTAATGATATGTGGATATGTTAAGTGTAGGAAGCATGCCTTATGATTCTTAGGCAACAATTTTATGAACATATTTGAGGAATCCCAAGGTGTGATGTGAAACCCCACCTTAATATGAGATTTACTAAGTTAGAAATCCTTAGATGAGTCAATCAAATGGTGTTTTGAAAACTTGAAATTTAGTTTTTGTGAATGGAAAATTTCGTGGTGTAATGTTTTGAGATGATTTTTGTGTTTGGAATGTTAA